ATGCAAAAAAACTACATCAGATGATTGAACTACCTGAGGTTGTATATTAAAAGCAAAAGCCACGATCTTCAGTTGTTCCTCACAGTTTCCCTTTGCAATATGCAAAGAGAATGAGAAATTGTTCAGCTTGACTATTTACAGTGAGTTACATACAGGTAGATTCACTATAAGAGTAGGCAGAGAGTGTGAACTGTGCTATGCTAAGTGAGGGAGTGTGTGTGTGTGTGTGTGTGTGTGTTTGTGCGTTGGTGTGTTGTGAATGCAGACGCGAGCTGTTGTTCCCTGGAGCAGAAGAGAACCGAGCAGAAATGGTATAGATCACCAGCAGAAAACTAGCTATCAAAAAACAGACCACCTTAAACTAGCATGACCAGCTGGTAACTGGTTTATAGTTGATGTTAGATGAACTAGAAACCAGTCACCAGTTTAATCTGGATTTTACATCAGAGAAAACAATCAGATGATCAAAAGTTTCTAATTCAATGGATTATCTAAGAATGAGCATTATGGTAATTTAATATATAAACAACTTTTAGTTGAATTTCATGATATATACCGCAGCTTACTCATAATACATTTTGTTCATACTGCCAACCCCTAGTTTTATTACATGAAGCACATTTAATCAAGTCTTTGTTCCTTCCAAGCACACCATCACTGCCAGATAACACATTATCATATTTGAATATAAAAATAGACCTATAACAGATACAAGTGCCTCTCGTGTGGCTTTACCATAGTAGCATGCAAAAAAACTACATCAGATGATTGAACTACCTGAGGTTGTATATTAAAAGCAAAAGCCACGATCTTCAGTTGTTCCTCACAGTTTCCCTTTGCAATATGCAAAGAGAATGAGAAATTGTTCAGCTTGACTATTTACAGTGAGTTACATACAGGTAGATTCACTATAAGAGTAGGCAGAGAGTGTGAACTGTGCTATGCTAAGTGAGGGAGTGTGTGTGTGTGTGTGTGTGTGTGTGTTTGTGCGTTGGTGTGTTGTGAATGCAGACGCGAGCTGTTGTTCCCTGGAGCAGAAGAGAACCGAGCAGAAATGGTATAGATCACCAGCAGAAAACTAGCTAATGGAAACTACATCTGTGCTGATGCCTTATCACACCTGAGGGACTGGATTCCCTCTCGTCTCCCGTCTTTCTCCATCTTCTACTCTTACTATGTCAGGATTTAAGGGTTTGCAGCACACTAGCATCTGTTTCTCTCTGCTACATACACAAATGCTGCATGACAGCTCATCTATTGCAATTATTCAACCAATATTCCTTGTTTTGTTAAAGCAGTTTGATTTATCATTTGGGGGAAAAGGGGAGTTTGCATTGGCAGAGTTTTGCAACTGGAAGTCATTCATTTTCAATGAGGGTTGGTGATTTGAGGCAACATGAGCGAGTTTGTTTGCAATGCAACAAAGTGCATTAGACTTCAATTTGATGCAAATGAGCAGTGATGCATTGTGGCGTTCACCAATAGGAGTGCAGAATGGCTCAAAAATGTACCTTATGGTAGCTTATGAGTTTGTTTACATGCACAATAAAATAGTGATAATTATCCAAAAAATCAGCTCATCAGCTCAAACAGAAACCTGTTATAGGAGTTTGTGCAAATCAATAAACTGCCAACATAAGAAAGTCTTGTTTACATGAGACTTTGAAATGATCAGGTTTCATTGTTGCACAGTCAGACGTACAGACTGAATAAGCTGACAGAATGTTGATTATGCTGTTTATGCTGTTAAATGCAAATCAAAATAATAGGGAAAAACTGAAGTTAATGAGTGCATTTACATGCATGATCTAATATCTTGAATGACTTAACTTGTTCTTTTAACTGGGAAGGTTGCAAACAATTTAAGCAAAACTGATTTTTACAGATTGCTCTCAATTCATTTTAGATGTAAGCACACATTTTTGTTTTACTTTATTAAATTGTACATGTCTTGTTTAGGTTTTGATGCCAAAAGTGAAGAAAATCATTTCGAAATATCACCTACATTTCATGCAAATCTCAAATCAAATGTGCTTTTTAAGCACATCAGTGTAGGATTGTGCATGTAAACACTACAATATGGGTTTCTGCAGGTTTTATGAAGGTAAATTTGAGACCTTTTTAAGACACAGTAAAGAAAATTTAAAAAATACAGGAAATGCAATACATCATTATGTTATCTACATGTGCTTTCTGTAATAACTTGCACTGTACCTCCTGATCACACTGCAAAAAGTTATGCTTTCATACCACATGTGTTCATGTTTTAAGCATAAACTCAATTTTGTTACATTTTTCAAGACTTATATATTTTTCAAGACCATATTGATTTAGAATATCTTTCAAAGATATTGATTTTTTTTTTTTTTGCAATGCCTGCAACATTTAATGTCATGCCTTTTTGAATTTAAGACTTTCTGCTCTGATTAAAGGCCTTCATTTGTGGCTTTTAGGGGACCCGCAGAAACACTGAATATAGCATGCATAATTCCCTAAACTTCTTTCCAAATGGTTATTCAACAACTAAGACTTTTCTATATGAACAGAGTTTCGTTTGTTGAACACCAGGCATGATATTATGCATCCTACCAAGCAAGGGCAGGTGTAGCAAACACCATCTGGGAGGATTTTATGTAGACAGCATTAATAAGATGATAGAGGAGGGGTTGAGGGCACTAACGTTCGGTCTGCAGAGGTCTGGCAGATGAACACGAGCTCTGCTGGAAGTCTAGTTCTGCGCTGATAGATGGCTCATATTCACTCTCTCTCAGGGCTTCTTCACTTTACTCTCCTTCACTCTGTCTCACTCCATCTCTTCAGCTCCTCCTCTCTCCTCTTTGGGGAAGAACAGGACTTTGAAGTTCTGCTGCTCAGCTCATTGGTGCATCTCATCATATTACTATGAGGGTGTAAAACCCTCAGCTGAATTTTTCAAATAGTGGCTTCTCTTTGCCATGAGATCCCTACTGACAGCAACACAGATTTGAATGGGTACAGTAAATGCACTCGCTTATACTGTACAAACTCCCAACCTCCCAACCGTCTAATCTGCATATTGTAAAGTCATCATTTGCAGCTATAGAAATAAGCTTTGTTCTACATTTGTCTTTAATTAATGCTGCATACCAGCTCACATATCCATCCTCAATAGTGTTCTAGGTCAAAAGTGGTGTTGAAACGACACATAAGACATCCACTGGAATTTTTTGTAATAATAATAATAATAATAATAATTAATTAGTAGTTTTGTTTTGTTTTCCAATAATGTTTAAAACATAATACATTTACTTGAGAAGCAACATTGCATGAGATATGAGATTTATTTTGAGATATATATATTGTGTTGCTTCTTTGTATATTTTGTCACTGCACTGCCAGATTTTTTCCCAACTTAAAGCAATATATTTAAAACAACTGAAAAATCTGCCAGGTCTGTGAGTTTTGATATGTTATGCAGTGTTGCTAAGTAAATTTATGCTGTTTTAAGGATTTTTAGATGCTTTGACCATAAAACATGTGATAAATAAATAATTAAATAAAGAAAGTATCAATTTTTGTAGTGTTGCACTATGGAAGAGGAGAGTTTTTAACAATACTCTTTTGACTTTTTGTCGAAAAGAAGTGCCAATGAAAGATTGAAACATGTTGTTAATTGCATGAACCTAAAAGTTACATAATAATGCAGGTATTGAATTTAGCTGGATGTTAAGACACAAACTGTACATAATAAGGGAGGCTGTGCAATTATGAGACATTGTCCAAATACTGAGTATGGACTTTCCATTGAGCAGTGAAGTACATACTTTTAGTGCACAGCGTAAGTATGAAAAACTGGGATGCAGCCCAAGACTAACAATGAATATGTTTGAGACATGGAGATGGTGCATAGTTGTAAATCGAGTGTGCTGTAAGTAAATACGATGCTACTTTTACTTATTTGAGATTTGACAAGCTCTACTCAGCTCCTATGAATAGCCACTGGTTGTCAAGTCTAACTTCAGAGCGTTTGTTTAGGGTTAGTTCCTGTAGTACAGTATTGTCTACAAATTCTAGAAAATATGATTCGGGTAATCAGGGTTTATTGCATTTAATTACTAGAATATGCAATGTTACTTAAGGTGCATTCAAATCCTCCTGGGAAGTTCATATTTATGAGTTGGGAAGCCGTAATTATGACATCACGTGCATTCAAATATCTTTGGTCGGAGCCACTTGAAGCCTTTATATATAATGCTTTATAAAAGTATGTTTAATGCATTGTAATTCACTGTATGATCTCATGAATAACTGTAGTTACAGTTATAATACATTATATCTATTCATTGTTACACCTTTAGAAACTATAACGCATTATTTGTTGGAATTGGTTGGTTGCCAAGGAAAGGAACCTGCAAATATTATAATGCATTTTATGAAAAGATATAATCTGAATATATTTTGAACACTTCAAGTTAAGCATTAATGATTTTTTACTACAAAATTATGACTTAAGAATGTGCATCAGGTATGTTTTTGCTTTTTATGTTTTTATTCAATTGTAATTGTATTGTAATTGCACTGTACTATGGTATTTTATGCATGCAACTTAGATTAAAAAATATAATTTCATTAATTTGAGCCAATTTACCATTAATACTGATGCTGCATTCATTGCATCTGACTTGTTTTCTCACTGACACGATCCCAACACGGGACTTTTCTCATTTCGTAATTGTGACTTTGCAGTGGCGCTCATGTGCGTTCAACTTATACAGTAAATACGATCTTTCCAATATGATTTGAGTGCACCGTTACTTCCTAGCACGCGTTCTTAGCATACACCGTAGCAAGTCACGATCCAAAAATCCTACAGGATATCCTACACAGTTCATGCATGCCATGCTGTTCTACACAAGCTCAAAAATTTCAATCGCAAACCCAAACCGCTCGACGTCCAGAGAGAGTTGGAGAGGTTTTACCGCTAAAACCAATCGTTTTTGAGATGCTTACAAAGGTTACCTCTACCTAGAGTCACTGGTTTCTGCTAATCGGTTGTTCATGATGCCCAAAGCACCGACGCCACCGGAAAAGCCGTTTTGCCGTGAACTTCCGCACACCGTTTTGGGATATCCGTTCGCTGACTCCGACAGCTGTTTCTGCATAATGGCCAACGAGATTTTATTGGATCCCGTCAAGTCCCGCATGGAGATCATCTCGCCCGAGAGTCTGCGTCCCTCTGTGTCGCTATCGCAAGGCCTGTCCGAGTCTGGTGTTCGGCCGAAGCGTCCGCGTCTGAGGCGCGAGCCGGGCCTGATGGCATTGCGGCGTCCCAAGAAAGCATTGGCTTTGCTGCAGCGCTGGCAGCACATGCAGCTCATTTTCTCCAACATCCAATTGAGGACCTGCTTGATGACGATGGAGATGACGTTGAAGAGCGAGTAGATGCAACATACTCCAGTCAAGATGAAGAGGAAGTTGGCCAAACGGTAAAGTCCTTGGTAGCCGTACGCAGCGTTTTGGCTGCTCACCAAATCTCCGAAACCAATGGTGCTGAAGGTGACGAAGCAAAAATACAGCGAGTCCAGATACGCCCAGCCTTCGACTGGAGTGTACATGGCCGACGCGCAGCAGGAGATCACGATGGCCGATAAACCCAGAATGAGCATCACGTGGTACACCGAGGGTTTCCAACCGGGCAATGTACTCGCCGCGAAGTCCTGGCAGATCCCCGGGCCACTGGTCCGCAGACGGCGCAGACGCACGGCCTTCATCACCACGGCCAGCAGGGTAATGATGCGCTCCAGAAAGAGGTTGAAGAACAGGATGGTGGCCGCACAACCTAGCAGACCGTAGAAGATCAAGAAAACCTTTCCAGCTACTGTCACAGGGGTGGTCATCCCGAATCCTGCAGAGAAGAAAACCAAAAGACCTTGTTAGAACACCATAATTTTTATTTGCAATATATCAGTCATTTGGAGTAAAAAAAAACGTCATGTTTACATATATTTATTTGGTAGATTCATCATGCATTTATTAAAAATTGACGAATGAGAATAGTGTTTAAGTCTTTCAACTTTAAGTCAAGTAGTAAATAGTACCAGCTTTAAATTATTTAAATCCAAGGGAAGAAACAACACAAGTGTTACTGCGGCAAATTTGATTCAGTATTATTATTGTTAATTAAAACCATTTTTTTTTTAAACACACATTTTCGTTACTTGAAAAAAATAAATGTTAACTGAAATGTAATAAAATAAAATATAAAAAACAAACTTATTTTATTTCAGCTAGTTGCAAAGGCATTTTCATTTTCATTTAATTTGACGTACAGTAGTCAAATAATGAAAACTAAATCAAATTAAATTAATAATTACAAAAACTATATGGAAATATTTTAAAAATAACTCATATAAATAATAAAGTTACTAAAGCTTTAACTAAAATTTAAAAATAATAATAATAATAATAATAATAATAATAATAAAAGACTTGAGTACTAGAATAGTACAATGCATCATATTTCACACCAAAATAATAAAATAAATATATACATGTATTTTGCATAAAGAATATGAAGCCTGCTTGCACATTTACATTCATGCATTTGGCAGACACTTTTATTCAAAGAGACTTACATTGCATTCTAGGCTTATTATAGATAACTAAAACTAGCTTTTATTTTTGCTGAATTAAAAAAAAAAGCTTTGAGATAAGAATTTGCTAATGAGAATTTGATGAGAATTACCACTGAGAAAAATGGGAATTAAAAAGAACCTCAAAAGTAAAATATTCAGATGCATTATGTCAATGAAAATTTGGGAGAGAAGTGCTCTCTTGTCATGAAAATGATGTCACAATGCACAAAAAGAACAAAAACTTAATAATCCTTAAATAGGCATTAAAAAAAAAGAAATTAAAAAAATATTCAGGTTACATTTCATACCATAAAATTGTAATATATTTAAAGTAATTTTATATATATATTTACAAAAAAATATCTGTTACTTTTTCAAATAAGTAACGCAAGTTACTTTGTTTTTCCGTTTATTCCCTGACACCTCTCCTGTCCCCGTGTTGCAGAGCAAAGCAAAAGCAAAAATTCCTTCAGCCAGAGGCTTATTAATTTCACTTTTGGTGTGAAAGGGCCTTTACAGTTACCAAAAATAAAACTCTTGGGTTTTTTGTTAAAAATTAATAAGAAAGCCCAGTTCAGGTGACAAAAAGTAATGCAAAATACCATAATGCATTACTTTCCATAAATAATAAGTAACGCAGTTAGTTTTTATGAAGTAGCGCAATATTGTAATGCATTACTTTTAAAAGTAACTTCACAACAGTGTTTAAGGATATAAAAATAAGAACAGAAAACATTTCACCAGCACTGTAACTAGACATGACTGCAACTGCTGGGATGAAAAAAAAAAATTATAATAAATAGCTGATATCCTCAAAATTTGATTATTCCAATGACAGCTGACCTTCAGCAATGCTGCAGCATTCACATCCCGGTGATTAAACTAGCTTGTCTTTGACAGTTAGCTGGAATTGATTTAAAGAGCTATATATTAAAAGGGGATGTTTTCTAGAGGATTGCGTCCTTTGGAACACATCAGTATAGAGAGTCTTCTGAATAATTAAAGGATTCCTGGGAGAAAAAGATAAAGCCCTTACACTTTTGTCATTGTAACTGATTACAACGGGAGAATGTGAAAGAGAAACAGCACAATGAACTCTATCTGCATTTCCTGCAGGTAACAGGAGTGCTAAAAAGGCAGAAAAAGAATAGCATTAAGATTTCAGGTTTGGTGAACACAAATGTTTCTAGTTATACAAGCTTGAATTCATTAGCTATTTCATGCCAAAGTGTCACCCCGCAATGCATAATGCAATGCAAGTATGTTTATAGCACATTTGTGTATTATTCTTTTAATGCAAGTCAATGGGAATTGCATTACTAGAATTGCACACTAATATGCTATAAACATCTTAAACATATATAGAGCAGCATTGAAATTATCTACAAAACTGAATTAATTGCAGAAATAACTTGAGTAGAAGACAAATAAATAGTTTGAAAAATATTACTGCTGTGCCAGTTTGCAAACACTATAAACTATAAAAAATCCAGCATAAAAATATGAACTAATACAATCAATCATTGTGATCTAAACAAGCAATGAAATAACGGTTAACCATTTCAATATTAACATGGGAAAATTATTTATATTATTTTGATATTTATATTAATAAAACATAATTTGTAATAAATTTAATAAATTAATTATTAATAAAAAATTCAACATTTTTACAACGACAACAACATTCAACATTCATTTATGTTACATTAAATGCTCAGTCTTATTTTAGTATCGAGACACTATATATATATTAAGTAACACATTTTTTTAATGCTTTTAGTTGTAGTTAACTATAATAAGCCTGAATCAGCCTTAGCAAGACAAGAGTCTGCACTTTTATCCAAAAAAATGTTTAAAATGACAAGCCCAGAGTGCTATTAAACACACATCTTTTGAGGAGTCGTGGAAAAATTCATGACTTCCCACAAAATAACAGAATACTCCTGTAATGCATTTTTATACACCGATAAACAAATAAAATAAAAGTCTGCAGAACCAAAAAAATGCCCATGGAAACACCCCGTGTTGCATTCTGGACCGTTAGATAACACTTTAGTCTCAGGAGACACACAAAGAGCAATGCCACAGACTGTGCTGAAACATTTCCAATATACACGAGCAACATTCACTGCCTGGGAAACACAACTGCACATATTTCACTACACAACAAAAAATAATGATAACACTGAGCAGAAGAGCGCCCATGTGGCTGATGGCAATGCACAACAGGCTCTCCTGAAAACAGCCCATTCGCTCTGGCATCAAATAACATGGCACAATCAAGCAGTGCTCTTTATAAGACAAAAAGAACAGGATCAAATCTAACCTCTCAGCCGTTCATCTCTAATTAATTAACCCTGCTCGTTTTCCACTGGCCTGCTGCTGAGATGCTCTTGTTAAGAGGGCACTGAGGTTTCGTCTGCCAAGGGCCACCCAGCTCTCTCTCATTAAATTCTCAGTTACCTCAAGCCCTGAACCATCGATTCTGTGCTGTTTCAGAGCCGACACTTCAGACTGGATCTCTAGAGACTTTAGGGACAGAGGGAGAGAGAGGCAAACACACCCAAAATAGCCTGCAGGACTTTAGACAACAGTCTGACAGATCTCCTTTCTGGAGAATTACAACTCAGCATTCATAACTGCTGCATTCTGCTCGAGTGTGTGCAAATGATCAATGCCAACCATTGTTTTATTATCTTATATTTGATATTCAGTATAAAACAATGTGGCAATCTGGAAACAATACACCCCAGCAAAAAAAAAAAACTCCAGACATGCCTTCTGTTTTGAGGTCTGCATGACAATAAATACCTCTTTTCAGAAAATAAAGACATCAGCAAAGCAACTTTAAGACAATTAGCAAACAAATAATGTCAGCATTAATCAAAATTCACAACACATTTATTTCCATCAAGTAACCAGAGGCGGTCTATAATATCTGCAGAAAGTTATCCGTCCCATCTCAGTGGAGTAGAGAATGTGAATTAGTATACCACTCCAGTGCATCAATTAACGTCTTGTGAAGTGAAAAGCTGTGTGTTTGTAAGAAACAAATCCATCATTAAGACATTTTAACTTTAAACCCTCACTTCTGTCCAAAATATGAGTCCATAATCCATAATAACCCATTAATCCATTTTTTTCCTCTGGTAAAAAAAAAATCCAAAATCCACCCACACATTTGTTTAGAACAGTTTTGCTTGTAAACGGTGCTTGATCTGTGCATATTTCTCTCCTGTTTCAGGCAAGATGACTTTTTCATTGAAGAAAGCATTTAAAAACACTTTATGGTGGGTTTGTTTCTTACAAACATGTAGCTTTTGGTAAACCCTCACTTCTGTCCAAAATATGAGTCCATAATCCATAATAACGCTTCCTCTGGTAAAAAAAAATCCAAAATCCACCCACACATTTGTTTAGAACAGTTTTGCTTGTAAACGGTGCTTGATCTGTGCATATTTCTCTCCTGTTTCAGGCAAGATGACTTTTTCATTGAAGAAAGCATTTAAAAACACTTTATGGTGGGTTTGTTTCTTACAAACATGTAGCTTTTGGCTTTACAAGACATTAACTGATGGACTGGAGTGATGTGGATTACTTGTGGATTATTGTGATGTTTTTATCAGCTGTTTGGACTCTCATTCTGACGGCACCCATTCACTGCAGAGGATCCATTAGTGAGCAAGTGATGCAATGCTACATTTCTCCAAATCTAATCCGATAAAGAAACTAACTCATCTACATCTTGGATGGCCTTAGTGTGAGTACATATTCAACACAATTTCATTTTTGGGTGAACTATTCCTTTAATTGCATTATATAAGTCGCTTCGAAATATATATCACAGCATGTATCAGATGATAAAAAATGAGACTTATATTCCGGAAAATATGGTAGTGTAAGGATAAAAGAAACTCAGGAAACTCAGATACTTTGATCTCCTGAGAAACAGACAATACACTGGTACCTTCAAGACACCCCACAGAGGGGTGGTGCAGGAAACGCCTCTCTCACATATGCATCAGTGCCTTTTCATCTGCTCCCTCCACTGGATTCACTCAGAATGGTCAATAGTAGAATGTTCTATATGAATGCAAATAAGATTTACAGTCATGTTTGGTTTCATTTGAATAGTATCAGGGCGAGTGGTACAATGGTCTTAATCTTACAAAAGTAGACTAAAAGATAATATGAGATAATAAAATGGAGTCAGATTGAGTTAAACTTAAATTGAATAACTCTGCGCGCTGAAAAGACCGAACACGCA